CTTGATAACAGGGCTTTAATACATGTATATGAAATGAGAGATCATAAGAAAGAGCTATAGACCTGGGTATTTATATTATATACATATATTTCCTAGTTTTGTCGGCTGAGAAGGTTTAGAAACAATGACACCCCAGTAGCAATGAGCATGCCAATCACCCAGATCTAGATTTCTAAATACCACTATTCAATAAAAAGATTCAGAGCTTTTGGGGGAAATAGTTGATTCCAGAGTTGGGACACGGAAACTAGAAAATGATCTTGGAACGCCTTGTGGTACCAGAACATAAAGGAAAGCTAAAAAAAAAAAAAATGGGGGCACGTAGAAAGAACAAAGGAACCAATTGGAAGGGGCACCTATTGGCCAAATCTCGGGTAATTCTGGAAAAATAATAGTGAAAATATCATAATTCATTATAATTCATAGAATAAAACAATTATCCATAAATCCATATTGTGATAAATGATGGAATAAGTAAGCAAATGGCAGAGATAGTAAAAGTTCTTTGTTACATTATATTCAATTAATACATGCAGAAAATGTTGCAAGTTGAAAAACACCATTTCGCAAATGTAATAATTATTCGGGTCAGAATCATCAATAAATGCTAAAATTACTGGGCAAAACTGTGGTGATAAATTACATATTTACATTGTGGTACAACATCACCCCACAAAGTCCGATAAGGTGGATTCACTTTGTAATTACAAAGGAAAAAAATAGTGATTTTAAAGTAGATAAACCTGGCAGACACCACCTTTACCATGCTACCATAAGCTATAAAGGTTGACTCAAGATAATGGGTCTCATGAGGCACACAGACATCAAAAGCCAAATAAAAGGACAGGAAAAAAAATGCATACTCTTAACAGTCATAAGACAGTTAAATATATTCTATTCAGATAATTGAATGAATATAATTATTATAGATATGTCATCAGTAGGTAATAATAACAGTGAACTGAGCAACTTATGAAAAGTGTACCACCAAACACACATACTCTGTTTTAACACAATAAACATGCAAATTATATTTAAAATCATTATGGAAACTAAAAGAGTAAGACAAGTCTTTCTTCCAAATAATCATCTACCATAAATCATGGTTGTTTTATAAGTCTATATGATTGTATGATTGTATAAAATCATACAATGCATAATAAGCAATTACTTTTTATCTCTCCATATATAGATATACATATAGAGACCATACTCTCATCTTTTTTATTTTTAGTTCCATTCAACTTTATTCACTCAACAAACTATACAACAGGCATTGTATGCTAAACATTCTTCTTGGCATTGAGTAAACCAAGATGAGGGTAGCCTTGAACTCTGCCATATATAAGCCATATATTTTTAATTTAATCATTAGATTAAATTAAAAGTTCATTGAGGGCAGGGGTGTGCCTTTCCTAACAGAGTTTTGAGCATGTGAGTCACAACACCTACATATTAGAAGGATAAATCCACCCCCCCCTGCTGTTTACACTAATAGTAAGTGCAACCAAATTCAATTTCCTTTGTGTAAATTTGCCCACAAAAGTTATTATTTGTCACAGAGGTTGGATGATCCCTTGCCATGTTCTCTCAAGAACAAGCCAACCATTTAAGCTAGTGAATGCTAATGGCTATACCACACTCTTTTTTTTTAATTTTAATTTTATTTTTATATTCCCCATACAATTGCAACCCCCTTATTTTGACCCCAATCTCTCCTTTCCCCGCTCCTCACTCCCCATAGAGTGTCTCTGGTTCATAGTTTGTTGATTTTGATTTTTACTTTCTTAGAGTTATTCTTTTTCCTGGTCTCTTATTTAAGTTTTCTAGATTCCTGCTATGAGTGAGACCATCTGGTATTTTTCTTTTTCTTTCTGGCTTATTTCGCTGAGCATGATCCCTTCCAGCTCCATCCATGTTGCTGCAAATTGCATGTGTTTATCTTTTTTGAATGCTGCATACTCTCATCTTTTGATTCTAAGTCCAAGGCTGCTTCTATTATACCATGCTGCGTCTCCCAGCATCAGCAGGAAGAAATATATGCCCCATTATTATTTCCATTTCACCTCCTGTTTCCCACTCCCCAGGCCCTAAGAAAAAAAATCACAGAGCCTCAAATACTGTGAACATCAAATAAATCTCTATAGACTACATTACAAAGGAGGCAGTATAGGACAGTTAAGGGTAAAGAATTTGGGAGTCAAACTGCCTAGTTCAAATTTCCTGCTCCACAATTTACTACATATGTGATTTCTGGCAAGTTACTTAACTTCTATGACTGGGTTTCTTCATTTGTAAAGTGGAGATAATAATGGTATATATAACATTGTAAACCAATGTTAAAATAATGGTATAAACCTCACGCGTTTGTTGCGAAGATTAAATATGATAATGCATATTACCACATCAGCACAGTGCCTGGCACAGGATAAACACTCAAAGATACAAGTTATGAAAATAATGCTAACAAATGCTTTCAATGGATCAGTATATGCCATAGAGGAAAAACTATTCCATAGTCACAAACCACTCTTACCCTTAATCATTGTTGCTGCTGGCCATGAGATAGTACATTTAAGTTAGAGAAACCTATCCGCTCTAACACACACACACGCACACACACACACAAACCCTACTAACATCTATATAGAAGTATAATTGTATACACCTATCCATAAATCTAAGTTCATATCTTACTGACAGTGAGCAAGTACAGGTATAATTATCTTTACCCAAAAAACCCACATTACTCCATCACTAGAAATGACCTTTCCCACTTAAAAGTTGTTCTTTTCTCTTACCCCTAACCTTTCTGCATATGGTTACTTCATTCCACCTAAAACAAAACAAAACAAAACAAAAAAAAAAAACACAGAAAAAAACTTCCACATATTTGTGATATACCAATTTGGCAGGACTTCAGAGTTAACGAAATCACTTAACTCTGAAAAATTAAAGTAATTTAAGTAGCACTGCTCTTCCTGATATAAAAGTACCAAGACTAGACTACTTTAGTCAACAATCTGCTCCACTATCACACAGTTTTACTCTGAAAAAGGTCACCAATATCACCAATACTAGTATGGAGAGCAGACACCATTCATATTTTTCAGATGATTACAACATTCATCTAACCAGGAAATTGAAGTGTCAAGCAGAAAAAACAAATCCCTGGTTTTATCAGAGACACAATATCATTAATGATAGAGAAATGGGATATAAAATTTTCTTTAAAAATCACATAGGATGAAAAAGAAAAACTACCTGATGTCTTCTGTAATTTCTTCATGAACAATCATAGTGTCTAAGAAAACAAGCTTGTTCCCAAATTTTGTAAGTCATAAAGAGAAATCTTATTTTTAATAGAAAATGATGTATATATAGTGTTGCTATACATACTTATATAATTGGCATCTGGTGTGCATTTGTTAATAGCAACATCCATTGGAAAAAATGAGAAATATTTAATGAAACATCCACAAAATCTTTGCCTGTTGGCCAAACACCATAAGCAGTAGGCACCCAGAAAATGTTATTAAAATAAGTATTCCAACAACACAATTATAGTTTTATCCAAGGGTCTGTAACCCTATTGGGTGATTAAATCATATCCCCTTTAAGATGCTCTGTATCAGAAAAGCAATTTTAAGTATTGCTACTACTTCGATGGAGGAAAATATTTGATATGATATTATAATTATGTTGTGCTTAGAGTGATATGAAAGTTTTTATTTCTTGAGTACACTTTCTGGAGAACAGGAAGGTAATGTAATCTGAGACACACTGCAAGTATAGAAGAGCTAGACAGGGAGCTACCTAAAAGGTGGACCCAGATAAGCTATGACATAGCAGCTGCATGTAAGGAATTGATAGTCACTTACCCACGTGAAGGCCTATGCCATGATGTCATATTAAAGTCTTTTTAAAACCATCCTTTATGATCACTCAAATACAACTTTTAGATAAGCTGTCACGCACTTAGTTCTTTAGAAGTTAAGTGAAATTAAGGATGATGGACTTCAGGCTGGAGAACATATCCTGACAAAACCATTCATTCCTTTACATCTGCCTCTCATCCCCAGAAGGATGGTGCGTGGGACTACCTTGTTAGCCTTCCAAGAAGACAGACTAGGATTTTAATCTACATTCCTAAAACTGAGTGGAACTTCTTGCTTTGTCATTTCCCATGTACCTCCTCCTTCACTCTCCTTTAAACCAGAAAATCATTCCCCTTTTAAAAAAAAAAAAAAGAGAGAATGTTTTTCCTTTATATAGGTAATGGACAAATGCTGGTTTTTGTTCAGCTGCCTTAGTAAGTTTTTTTTTTCTTTTGGTAACAAACAAAACCCAGAACTTAAAAAAAAAAACAAAAAAAAACACCTAAGACCTGAAGCCTTCACTAGCAGGTTTTATTGGTAGATTACCTGAGCAACTGCAACAAAGACGTCCAAAGGGGGACAGAGTGTCCGGAGGCTTTACAGAGCAGAGGTGAGGGTTAGGTTCAACTAGGTTTAGGAAAGGGCAGAGGGGAAGAACTTCAGAGGCACGCTGAACACTCGGATGGAAGCTGGATTTTAGACAAACCAAAACATTAAACTATAACCCTAAATTGAAAGTCTGCGTGGGCTGGGTGGAACTAGCGAAAAGGTTAGCCGGCAGGCAGGGAAACATCCCAAGGCGGAGGGTGGGGAGGCAAAGTTTTAAATCCCTACCTGAACCTAGCGATCCTTAACGCGCGCCCCCCACCCGGCCTCGACTAGCCCCCCAGAGCTGCTAGCCTGGCGGCTAGCAGCCCTATTTTTAAACACTTGAGCCTCTCCCTCGCACCTCGGAAAGCTTGAGTTACCAGTGTTATAAATAAGGTTTCTTCCAATCCTGTGTAGGCAAATTTTCATTCCCTAGCCCGGGCCCGGGAGAAAGGAAGGTAAGGTAAGGGGACAAAAAGTGATTTCGGCGTGAGAGCGAGGTGATGGGGTGGGGGCGGGGAAGGAAGGACTTACCGCAGCCTCTGCGGGCTGCCCCCAAAGGCTCACGGCCAGTAAGAACGAGAGCGCAGCCAGGCTGACTCCACGCAGTTTCATTCTTCAGCTCCCGCAGCTCCGTCAGCCCCCGCACGAGATCCCTGGCTGGCTCTGACCAACTGACAAAATCTTAAGGGTGTACGGGGAGAGAGCCGGAGGCGGAGAGGGACAGCAGGGGTGCCCCAATGGTGCCCCTCGGCTTGGGAGAAGAGAAAGCAGCTCCTTAAGAGTGGAGGGGGGAAAAAGAAGCACTTCTTCCTTCCCCCCTCCCCTGCACCAAAGTCGGTCTCTCGGGAGCACTCTTCCCTTCTGTCCAGACTTGCAAACTTTTTCCTCACCCGAGCGCCACGGCTCTTCTTTCCTCCCTCTCTTCCCACGCGCCACCCCCCCACCAGGGACTCTGGGAGTTTCAAGGATGCCTCCGCCACTGCTTTAGCACCAGCAACCTGCGAGGGAGTGACGCTCAGTTATTTGTGGGAGGGAACTTCCACACCAGTTGACTGAACACCATGAATCCAGGCAGGAAGCTTTTCTATTCGTTCCCTTGCACCTTTCCTACATGCTAATGTTCCGTGCCTAGTCCCTCATTGGTGTGAGCACCAAGGCCAATGACAAATAGAACTGAGCTGGGGCTACTTTTTTCGGCGGATGGGTCTCACGAGAAGGTACTTTTTATTGTTAATGATTAGAAACAAATTTTAGTCGCTGCTCCCTGGTCTGTTGGTGTTCTTTGCCTCCCACCTGGTCTCAGGACACAGTGCCTACATACAACAGGATATACGAAAATATTAGAAATATATAAATATGTTTATGTAGTTAAATATGAGGACAACCAAAGAATTAAGAACATGAACCCAAGTATATGTGTGCGAAGAGTTTCTGCGTCTCAAATATATAGAAAAGATGCAGGAACATTCAGTGATTTTAGAAATTATTATATGATTTCATGTTATTGTAGTGCAGTCAAATCTTTTTATTTAGCTACATCCAATACCATAATTAATATTTAACTCTAACATAAAAGGTATTGACCCTTCTTGCAGTTGTGTTTCAGGGGAATTTAAGGCTGGGACTTTAATACCTTTCTTTAAAATGAACATAAGTTTAATTGGAAATATTTATATGGTGCTAACGGCAGGTGAACTGTTGACTCCAAATAAAGTAGACTTCAATATTACTTTGGTAATTCTGACATATAGTTTTTTCAAGTACTGACAGGCCCAGAAAATACTTTTTATGGCCTCTTTTTATGAAAACACTTTTTATGACTAGGGTTTGGCTGAAGAATTTCTTGGAACATTTCTCTTATCTCAGACCCTAAAATTTACTTCAGAGTCTTTCAAGGGAATTGGACCACTTTCACGGGGGCCCACTCATCCTTAGGTTCTGCTAAGCTTAGGGTAGATTTACAACTCCAGAAACCACCCCTACTCCCCCCAAGAGTTTAATATACAATCAATTAGAATGAGCTTTGTGTGCATCTGGGCAAATGGGCAAAGGGTCTTGGGCCCCTTTTGTCTGTGTAGGAGTCCTATGCCTTAATCTACGTATGTTAACAGCGGTTTACGTTAGTGTATGGTGCATACTTGTTTCAACTTTGTGTCTAGGTTCTTGTAGGTCTGTGTGCGAAGCTATGAAGAAGCGTGGGAATGTCATGTGTAGAGGTGTCTGAAAGTGAGAATACGCCGGGCTGCCCAAGGTAGGGGGGATGATTGACAGCAGAGAGCCCCGCCCCCTTCCCCTCCATTCCTTCCTCTCCTGGTGCATGGAAATATCTTTTGAGTTCGGCAAGTTGTAGCCGGCACCGCTGAGCGCGTTCCCCTTTGGGGCACTGCTTATCTAGCAGTTGAGTTCAGTTTCTTCCGAAGTGAACCACTTCGTCTCCTTCACCCGTCTTCCTGAATAAGGAAGCAACCGCCAAGCATCAGCGGAGCCCTGATGAGCCCGGGCGGAGGAGCCGCTTAGCAGTCTCCCGGGACCCAGCTCTAAGAGGAACCGCGAGCATGCACCCTGGGTGAGCTATTGCTGCCCCGAGCTCCCTCCTCTTTCCTACTTTGGGCTACTTTTACCACACCCGGACTACACTTGTACTTCAGTCATTGCAAAGGAAGTGGGGGCAGGCTACAAAAAGGGGTCACAATCTACGGACAGACGCGGGACCCCAGAATCTTTAGAGCCCACGTTATTCACCCTCCCTCCCGTTTCAGGTTGTGGCTGCTCCTGGTAATATTGTCTCTGACCGAGGAACTGGCAGGAGCGGTGAGTCTCTTTCCCTCCACCTTCTTTGACCCCCTCCCCATCCCATCTCTCGTGTTTGTGCTAAGGGATTACAGAGGGTTACACCGCACTCTCACTTCTAGTCAGAGTTAATAGGGCTGTTGGAGAGGCATGGCAGAGTGGCAGGCTATGGGACTCGGGCATCTCTCTGTCCCAAAACTTCATAACCGGTTGGGAAAATATAAATAGAAGATACAAGAGGCACACTTTTCTGTGTCTCTTCCTGGAAGACTTAAAAGATAACCGACATCTGTTGCCTTTCTCTGCATCATCTCCAAAACAGAAAATATGTAATTTCCCTTGGTGTACAAGAGCATGAATTGGCACACACATTTGAGAGTGGGAGGAGAGGACAAGTAGTGAAACCTGAAAGTGCCTTAAATGTGGAAATTAAGTATTTGTTGGTGAGTCTTTTGACAGTGCCGGGTGACAATATCTGGATTCTTTACCTGAAACCATTTGATATCAGATTATGTTCAATTTCTGCCTGATGTTTCCTTTTACTGGTTTTTTGTCTTATCAGAAAGCTAAAAATTAAAGTGGTTAGAGCAGAAGCAATTCTAAAAGTTAACATTTCATGGGCTGTTTAGATATCATCTATCAGATCAATTCGGAACTGCAGGCAATGGTTTGCCTCTACACATCTGGTCAAGAAAGGTTTAATGATCCACAGAAAGTAGAGAGACTTCCAATGGAATTACTAGGATCATTTACCTAAGGTGCATTGGCCTGACTAATCACAGATGCTGCAGTTTTCCAGTCTCACTAGCTACATATGCTGACAGAAATGAAGTCAACTGCTAAGTTCAAATACGAAATTGTTCAAATATTTTATACTATTCCACGATTCTATTTTAAACATTCTTAATAGCCAAAGTCATGCACTAGGTAGAATATATATTCCAAATATTTACCTTGTGACTTTTTGCAACCTTAACTGATTAGGCCCCTTAAGTGAGAACATCAACTCTTAAGTAAATTCTTGATTTTAGAAAAAGTTCAGCACACTTCTCCAGCTGAGTCCTTGAATATATAAATTTAATTATGTGTTGCCTTGAGGTCCAACATTATCTTTTTGAAAATGCCAGGTTTTAATTAGTTAACAATTTGTCTGAGAATCTTGCCACTTATAAAATATCATGGTTGGGCAGAATACCCTCCAGCAAAACCTTTCTTTTCAGACTCTGGCTGAGTATATTTAGTGTACTTTTGAGTAAAACACTGACAAATCATTCCAGATAGTTGGAGACTTCCCAAACACTGCATCCTATCACTTATATCTTTAAAAGCCACTAGAAGATGGTGCCTTCAATTCTTAGAAGTATTGAAGTGTATCTCCAAACTCAAACATTGCTTTCAATCTTACTGTTTTACAATGTCACCTGCCATGTCAGTGTGATTGATCCCAGTAAGACTAAAATAAACCTTGAAATCCATTGATAACACTTTTTTTTTTGCATTGTTTAAGTCCACAAATGCTTCCTTCACTCTCTGCTTACTTCTGTGTAACACCTTTGACGTTATAAAGCTACTTTTAAATTTCTGTAAAAATGGCAAAGAGAAAGAGAGAGTTACAGAATAAGTTCTCAAAAGGTGGCTTTTCTGAAGGGGAGTTTTTTATACTTTTTCTACTCTTTTATTTCCTTTTGTACTCTTTGTACTAGGTCCTCATCTACATTGACTAGTTTTCATCTACTCTAAATTCCATTTTATCCTTTAGATTTGTAATGTTTTTCACCTTTCAGATGATTTTGCACATTTCAAGTAAAATAACTATTATAGTAGATTGGACAGTAGCTATGTTGTACTTCACCATGAGAGAAAATCTCTTTACTGTAAAAAGCAAGTAGCCAATAATGGAATAGTGATGAGCATTTAAGATAGAGTCGCTTAGGTGCTTTTGAGTTTCTTCTTTAGCATTTTATAAAGCAGCCCTATATAAAAGAGTGGAAAGCTAAATGTTAAAACCCAGAATTAAAGAATGAGTGTTATTTTTTTTTAAAGAGTGATGCTCTTCATTTAGGTTAAATATTTGAGGTGAACAATTTATCTGAATGATGTAAATATGAGTCTGGTATTTTAGAATATCCATGATATCTTTGTATTAATTATCTAATTAATTATTATCTAATTAATTATCTAAGACAGTCCTCCAGCTCTCTAAGAATTTACTTTATCAGAAAATGGTTGTCATGTTCCTTAAAATATAGGACATTTACTGATAAATTATTATCTGCATGTACCTGCATTATGTTAAAGAAAAGACTGGAAAGATCCAAATGTCACCATAAGCCAACATGTCTGAGAGATACATTGTGTTCTAATGCAGAGTCCTTGTGTTTTCTTCCCATTTCGCCACAAATCTTCTTTCATGAAAGACTCTAATACAACCAAACATACTTAAAAACCAAAGCCTTCTGGGTGGGAAAGGGGCAAAAAGGAGAAACAAAGGTATATTGCTCCTTCTGCAAAGAACATAAGTAAAATTCTTTCAGCCAGTTTGCTAGCAAGGTCTGATTGAAATGCAGTCTTGAAGTTCTAACGTCTTCAGTTTGGTCCTTTCTACTGTGATTTTCAAGGTTATAGTTGCAGTCATGAAAGTATGAATAGTGTTGAGGTTGTTCAGAGATAGAGTGGATCCCTTCCAGCTCTTAAGGATTAAGAGAAATATTTCCCTTAGTTGAAGCTGTATCTCTATGAAGTTCTTTTTAAAAACAACTTTAATGATATAACTAACATACCATAAATTCACCTATTTTAAGTATACAATTTGGTGAGTTTTAGTAAATTTACCAAATTGGGCAACCATCACCATATCCAAATTTAGAAGATTTTCATCACCTCAGTGAGATCCCTCATATCCATTTACAGTTAATCCCCATCCCTACCCCCAACTCCAGGCAAACATATCTACTTTTCTGTCTCGATATACTTGCCTTTTCTGGCTATTTCTTATACAGGTTTGCCCTACTATCTGAAAGTATTTTGTATGATTTGGTAGGGTATTTATTGGGTCTGGGAATTACTACTAATTTATGTGGGAAAAGTTTGAGCAGTCCCACACCTCAAAAATAACCTATCAAGGGCCTCCCTGGTGGCGCAAGGGTTTGAGACGCAACCTATGAAGCTGTCCACAGCTGCTACAACACAAGTTCGATCCCCAGCCCTGGAGCTACCCACATGGCGCAGCAGACCTCTCCTGTCTTGCCCCCTGCTCCCCTCAGCAGTGTATTTCAGTCAATCTGCCTAGTCTGTTACCCCCTCTGTCTCTGGTGAATTCTCTCACCCCCCCCATACCTCTGACCTGTACCCCAGCTCTTATATGCATAAATAAATCTTAAAAAAATAATAATCTATCAAACAATACCAAATTGCAACTAATTTGGGGTAATGGGAGAAACCAAAACATAGAACCATATAATATGTAATGTTTTATTTTTGGTATCTTTCACTTAGCATAATGTCTTTGAAATGTATCCATGTAGATTTCACTTTTTTTTATTAGTATTGGTATTCCACTATGTATACACCACATTTGTTTATGCATTTACTAGTTGATAGACTTTGGGCTCTTTGTACTTTTTGGTGATTATGAATAATGCTGCTACAAACATTAACATGCAAATCTTTTTATGCACATGCGTTTTATTTCTCTTGAATAGATATATTGAAATAGAATCGTTGTGTCTTATGAAAAATTTTATTTAATCTATAAAAAACCTGCAAAACAGTTGTTCCAAAGTCATTGTGAAACTGCAGTCTAACCAGCAATGTCAAAGAATTCCTGTTTCCTACATCCTTGTTAATACTTGGTATTGTCTGTGTGTTTGATCATAGCTATCCTAGTAGATATGTAGTGGTATCTAAGTGTGGTTATAATTTGTATTTCCCTAATGATTAATGATATTAAACTTCCTTTCATGAGCTTGTTAGCCATTTGCATATCTTCTTTGAAGAAATGTCCGTTTAAATATTTGGTCCATATTAAATTTGGGTTTCTTATTTTTGAGTTGTAAGAGGTCTTTGTATATTGTGGATACAAATGTTTACTTTACATGCAATTTGCAAATATTTTCTTCCAGTCTGCGACTTATGTTTTCATTTTCTTAATATGTATATTTAGAGTTTTCTTCTCCTTTGCTGCCTAGCAAATATACTGTATTAGCTGGCTAGGAAAAAATACAATATACAGCATATTTATGTGTGTACAAATGTGTATAGAGTATGTATCTTGGGATGATTGGAAATCCTAATACAGATGTTTGAGCACATAATCAAATTAACATGAAATGAGAGTAAATAGATAGTACATGGATGACAATATATGATTGACAGGTCAAATTGAGCATATATTAAGACTGGGGAAAGTAGATACTATTTTTTATAAGATTTATATATATTTATTTATGCATAAAGACCTGGGGTGTAGGCCAGAGGTGTGTGGGTGACAGGATTCACCAGAGACAGAGTGGGGAGCAGAACAGGCAGATCTACTGAAATACACTGCTGAGGGGAACCAGCAGGCGAGACAGGAGAGGTCTGCTGCGCCATGTGGGTTATCTCCCTGGCTGGGGACCGAACTCATGCTGCAGTGGCTGGTTATAGCCTGAAAGAGCTGAGACTTTAACCCTTGCGCCACCAGGGAGGCCCTATTATTATTTAATATGTTACTAAAAAAGCAGGTGTAGTACCAGATCACATGTTTGTTTTATTACATATTTTTTTCATTATTGTATGTCATTATAATTGCTTTCTATTATAATCCCTTATATTTTATTAAATATATTTTAAAATATGATTTTGAAAAGGAGTTCATAAGCCTTGCTGGACTGTCAGAGTAATCCACGGCATTAAAAAAGCACAAATGGTCACCTTTTTAGACTTGTTCAGGCATGAGGGCATTCATATTGTCTTTGAGTATCAACAAAATCAATGTTCTAAGCATATTTTGGTGTCTCCACCAAATAAGTAAATAAGCCCTT